GAAATGTGGCAATTTGCACAAGGAAAGGAAAGAATACTTAGCTTATTAAGGTGGACAAATTAGCTCACTTTCTCCTTTCCTGTGTGTAAAAGTTGAAAGGAAATAAATATCTAATTTTCCCATTTATATACTGCTCCTTAAAGCCTCATTTTCTGCTCTCTGCTCCTGCTTATGAAGTGCTTCCTTATGATCTTGCTTATCTCTGCCTTGATGACTGCAGACTTTTCAGAGTTGCTTTTCTTTTTGTGGCCATGTGTGATAGAGTAGTTGAGATTTTCTTCCTCACTTCTTTGTGCTCCCCTGTACTTGGTCTGCCGTGAAAAAGGCCTTGAAAAAAGGGCCTACCTCAATCTGCTCCTAAGGCCTCTACATAGGGCTGAAACAAAATAAAAGACACACATAGAAAAGAGAAATAGATGGAGTAATTGGTCTCCAACAGGAGCACTGTCGCTAGTGATAAAAAACTGAAAGGTCTTCCTGCACTTGCCAGAACTACTTTGTTATCCCAGGGAAGATCTATAAATCAGGTCAGGACGCTTGAGGCTAATCAAGCACTGTTAGCTAATGGATTGTTTGTACAACTTTGTAACTCTGCACTGTCATATTATTGCCTATTCATGCTCATATAATCTATGTCTAGAGACAAACACTTCAGAAAGAAACCTATAAATAAATGCCTGTAACCCAAAGTGGTACAAGAACACTGGGGCTGACAGTCACTTTAGAAATGCCTTCCCAGGTGGAGAGGTGTCTCAGTCCCTGCACACTATAATTTGGACACATGGTCTTTCTGACCCAAATTCAGGTGCAAGAGACTTCTCCTTTGGCACCAGAGCCAATGTCTCTCTGCTCAGGCACATAGGTGCACAGCCAAAGCAGAGGTGCATGGTACACAAACAAAGCAGATGTCCATCAGATGCATTGGCAGAGTGATTTTTTAGTGCAGGATGTTGTTGTTCATCTTTGTAGCATCTGATGAGCCAAAATAACAAATATCAGTCACACAAAACTTTGCATGCAGGCACACCGTTATGTTCAGAATGTTAATAATTTCTCCCTCCTTTTTCTTCTTTATGTTTGATTTTATTGCTTCATGACTTGGAAGTACTTAATCACTCCCTTTTAATGTTCGCATATGCGGGTTTTATCTGGACCATTATAAATCCCTAAGCATCATAATATTACCGCTTTATAAGAGACAAAATATGCTCAGTGTGGAAGGATTGATGATTTGAAAAATTCTATAATAAAAAGACTTGGAGCAATAAGATTTATCCAGAAGCAGGAGAGAAGCTGCTCTTCTCTGCTGGCAAACTGCACAGCTAAGATACGTTGGGAGGAAGGTAGTGAAGGTATTTGTCTTATATGAACCTGCAAGGTCAGAGTCATGGGAGAACAAAAGGTTAGTAAGAAGAGCAGCTCCTCATGGAGACTAAAAGCTTGTATAAGAAAAAAAAAGAAAATAAATACAAGTAAGGCACATGAAGATTTGAAAATACAGAGAAGGATTTTTGATGCATGCAGGAAAGGTAAAGAGCTGAGTGCTATGTAAATTCTTAGAGGCTCAAATCTCATCCAGCTTCAAAACACTAAACTACTTCCCACTCTTACTGCAGCCAGCCAGGTGCAGGTGGCTGACCCCTGTCCAGCAGCCTCCAAATTGAAAAGTCAGCTGTGTCAGTATTTGTCTTTCACTTGCATTTACACTGAAGCCCTGGCCCAAAGTGGTGCTTGTGAGCCATTATATATTAAGTCAGAGGGTAAGGCAGGAGAAATCCCTGACCTTTTTGACATCTATGCTACCTGTCAGAGCATGCCAGTGTGACTGTACCCAGCTCCTGAGCATGAATGCCAAGCTCACTTAAAAATCACCATGCTGCAGGGACAGGTACAACCAAAGGCCACACAGCCAGGCACACAATGGTAAGGGGATTTTGGTGTCAGCAGCTATATGGCCAAGCCTAAAGGCAAGAGAAAAACTCCACCAAATACATTTAGTTGAAGACCCAGACTGCAGTGTGCTGCTGGAGAACTTACCTTTCTTTCTAGATGTCATGTGTGGGTATTGTCACGCTGCAACAAGGTAATTGATGTCAAATTTAACATCTACTCTTCAGAGACCTCTCTGCTGTTTTCTCACCTCTCTGTTCCACAAACCCGAGGATTTATCAGCAGTGGGGGTTATTTGCAGGAAGACTGGGGAGAGTTTTCTCTTGAGTCTGCTTAGTGCCAGTAGTTCACCAGGTTTTCATCTTCTGATTCCCCCTCCCTGTCTGTGCTTTTCTCCATGTTATCTGGAGATGTATTTTCGACTACCAATATCTCTTTTAAAAGAACTTTCGCCCACATGAAAACAAGGTAATAGTGCAGCTTGCAGCAGTATTACTGTCTTACATCTTTTTAGACTTGTAGTTTAACAAAAGAAACGCACATAGAGAAGAAAGAAAGACCTGATCTTTCTCTGGAAAAACCTGAAATTGTAATTAAATAAGGACACTTACATCTTTGTCCTGTATCTCATTCTCAGGAAAATATTATAAATTAATTCTCCTAATAAAAGGATATATTACATGATAAAATAACTGCAGTACCAATGAGACTGGAGTGAAAAACCTCCAAATATACTCTATATATTTTTGACACTCTTTCTGTGGTTGGTTTTAGGCAATTTTAAATTTTAAATATGTCTAAAGAAAAATGTAAATGTAAAGTTTTCAGTGATGCTGGAACATTCTTCCTCATGTAGTTTGGAGGTATGATTTATCATCTTTCTGTGGTGGAAGAAGCAAAAGGTTGCATATAACCAGCAGCAAGTTGTTGATGGAACCTAATTTTGTATGTGATCAATCTGCAAATTTTGCAGTTCTTAGGAATGGCAATCTGACAGCAGTATCCTTTATTTTGATGTCTGAAAAAAACATGCTGCAGAAATAGTTTAGGAAGTTCAGTCACAGCTGCACAAGAGTTTATAGACCATTTTCAGAATGTAAAGAAGCAACATAACTTGAACCTCTGAGTACTGTAGCAGTCAGTTTATGTTTGGAACCAGTTCCTAAAATAGAGCTCTATTTTCATGACCAAATGAAAGCACAGCCTTACAGAGATCCAGCTAGAAAGTATGTGTTGATGACAGGCTCAGGTTTAGTGCTGAACATTGGCTGACCACCATAAACTTCAGAGGGATGATTGTTTTAAATGCTGCAACTACCTGTGGTGATGCTTAAACAAAATGGTTGTAGTTAATTTTGTAATACCTTAGGGATAATTGCTCAATATTTTGAATATAACAATGTTCTAGTGACTGCAAGAGAAGTAAAGAGCTCATTTTACAGCTGGGCATAGCTTCTCACCCTTTGAAGCCCATTACAGCTAGCATGGTCAAAGAAACATGTTGTCCAGGCAAGCTCCTTGTCATTCTGCTCACATGGGTTGATATGCTGCCTTTCACAAGAATAAGGTGACTGGGATTTGCTCTGTATCCTAAGGATGTGATTTCAAGTCTTTAGACGTTGGCTGTTACATTAGCCCTTAAAACCAGGAAGTAGGTGAGCAGCAGGAAACTCCTCATGCCTTCACATTTCCTGCAGGAGATCAGCTCTGGAGTCAAGAAGCAAAGGCAAGTATTGAGTGTGCAGCTTCAATTCTGAATGCACAAAGCCATCATAAAAGAAAGCAGTTTGCACAGCCTTTGCTCCTGTGTGCAAACCCACTGTTTTCACAAATTGCCTACGGAAGTGGTAGCTCTCTTCCCCTTGCTAGTATATCATGGATCAAAGTGTATTAATATTTCATAGATTCAAAACCTCTTCCATGACTTGGAGGTTCACATACATTGACTTCCAGGGGAGCTAGAAGGGCAGAGTCATTAATGCGTTCTTGGACATTTCAGTTCACAAAACAGAGCAATCTAATTGATAAAATCTAACGATTTTGAGTGACTGCACTTTACAATGTGCTTAGAATACTGACATTTTCAGGTTTTAGGGTCTGCTTTTCCATCTGCTTTTTAGTTTGCTTATTTGTATCTGGTTTGGGTGTTTCATTTGGTTTCTTTATCTAGTTTGCTGACAGAAGCAATAAGAGTCATAAGTAACTTAAGTGTAAAACAGAAATATCATTCAGCCTTCTTGCCCAAAAGAGATTGTCTGAAGGTTTTCAAACCAGAGTATGCTGAAAGCAATTCAGGTGGGGTTGGAGCAATTGCATCAATGTGAACAGGAAGAAGTCAGAAACAGCAATTAAGTGTAAGATTGCATTTCTTTCTAAGACTGTATTAGCCACATAAGAAATATTAACTTCACTTTTCTCTTTGGAAAAAATAAAAAGCTGTTTTTAAATCACAATTTCAGTATAAAAAATGTGACAAATTTGAGAATTTTGGTGTGAAAAATGTTTTCCAGTACTGATGATAAGGTTTCACAAGACAGGAGAAAGCAGAATTTTTTCCAAGCCTAAGGTCTTACTATTGTTATTTGCAGCCTTATTACTTTCCTCAAAGCAGACCTTTATTTTTTCCTTAAAAGCTAGCTAATACCTCACTTGTAGCATCTTTTCCATATGATGAGACTTCCTAGCATTAGTAAGGTCTCAGAAGAAAAGAAATAACTTCTGACAAATGCTAATCCATCAATCAGAAAACTATCATTTAATAAACTCTGTGGTAGCTACCTCATTAATATTGTCCTTTGTGACCTGTGTGGATAGTTTGAAGGAATGGAAGATATTTCCTCCTGCAGACCAGTAAATTGTTAAACCATGACTGTGTATTAATTTAAATATCTATTACTATGGCTGAATCTGATGCCTACAACGGAAAATATGTTCACATTTTTAATTTTCCAAGAAAATTAATGTTTTAGAGTTCTCATTTTGCTTTTCTTTCTTTTTTGTTTTTCCTTTATGAAGGTTCTTGCAGCTCCATTTTAAACCCTAACAACTTATATTTTAGTTATTCCATGTTGATCTCTTGTATCTAACAGTATAATTCTTATTCCTATCAGGTATAAATTTGTCTATTCATGGGGCTGAAAAGCGTGTGCAAATCTGTCAGAGGAGAACTGCATCAAGCTACCCAGTGTCACAGCATCCCCCTGTGGATGGGCATCCCTCAATCCCACAAATCAGAGGGTCAATAAAAATGGAAGCCTCATCTTCCGGATCTACGATTTCATCAGTCACTGGTAGAAAAGCAAAAACCCATCAGCCAGGTAAGAGATTTCCCCTGACACCCATTTCACACCTGACATGGTGAAGCTGGTGTTAATAGCACCAGGTCATGCCTGTGTGGAGATCAATCTATTAATTGTCAGAATTACCGACTGATGTTTTGTTCACATTTGATGTTTTTGTCAATTGTAGGTTATAGAGAGTAACAGCAGTTGGGACAGCTGAAAGTGGGCAATAAAAATATAAGTTTAATCATAAAAGCCCCTATGATGTGTAGTGGTATCCAAATTGTTAATGCAGAGAGATTTGGGATATTGCTTTTTAATACTGATTCCCTTGTATATAATTTAATTTTTATAAGCCTTGAGCTAATTGCTCTAGAGGCTACAGGCATCCCCCATGCAATTCAATAATTGACAATAAAATTGGTTTTGATCAAATACACAATCCACGGTGTAGATCAAACTCTATTGCTATAACACTAACAAAAACTTTGGATCTGCATGAGATCTTATAGCATAGATTAACTGGTTAACAAAATGAAACTTTTCAAAAGAAAGTCAAAATCTCGAGGGATCCATCAAATTCTAATTGGCATCATGAATTCATTCCTTGTTATGATAATTGCCAGTGCTATTTTAGAAATATATTTTCTTATAGCAGGGGAGTACATTTGTACTGGCCATGCTCAGTCATTCATTGCAGTGAAAATTAAACTCCAAATTTCTTTCCTGAGCAGAGCAAATTAAAGCTGCCCATGAAGTCAATTTTGTAGCATATTTATTGGAGGGTCTCAATTATCTTCCAGTGTTGCTGCCCAGAAAAGAGCATGATATGTGATGTATTCAGCTACTTGGGTGCTGGGAGGCAGTCTGTTTGTGTGACACAGACAGTTCTGCCTGCAAACTCTTACTGCACCCCCCTTAACTTGCAGGTCTAGTAAGTGGCTTAATTTTTATAGAAGTTTAAATTTTAGATTATCTATTGTAAATTGCTATACAGGTCTACTGCCATGAGTTTCATGCACTCACAGTATTTAGTCACCATAATCTTTGTCAACACAGATTAAAGAATTTACAGTGACTCATAACCATATGTTTTGTTTATTTTAGTTCTTCTGTTCACTTGTTTGTCCTGTTTATTCAGCTTCTGTCTTTTCATTGAAGTAGAGAAATTGCTACTACTGAAATGTTGCTGTAGCTAAAGATATATAATGATGTATGCAGCATGTTAAGAAATTGACAAAAAAGTCCTGCATCACAGTTTTTTAAAAAAGTATCTTGAACGTGCACAATAACACTCATTTTGAAATGCTGCATATTCTATAGTTATATATTGATAAGTAGGTCCTGTGCTTTAATAGTAAATGATGTTCATGCAGCAAATTCAAGACTCTGATTGGGAAAAAGATCCCTTTTCAGGTAGACCCCAGATGTTTCCTAAAATGGAGCTCACTGGTGACCATTTGGTTAATTATTATCTTTCAGTATATGAGATTAGTTTTATCCGTCATATTCTCCTCTTAGGACAAGAAGAGTATCTGTCAGCTATGGAAAACATTTTTTGTATGGCAGGAATCTTCTCTTGACTATCTCACAGTCCCATTTTTTCATCTGAAATGAAGAATCATTTCTATGATTTGTGTCTGCCTTTTCAATTCTGAGACCACTCTGTTTGTGTTTGTGTCCAGGCTAAACTACAACCATTTGAGCTGTATGCAAGTAGATCTAAGAAAGATAATGGTTGGCAGCAGCAGCAATGAATAGCACTCCTAAGAGGAAATTGTAATTTAAACAAAGAATCGTATGTTCTTTACTCAAAGTGAGTCACAAATTTACAGCTGTAGCTTCATAATCAGATTAAGACATCAGCTGTCCAGTGGCAGTACCTTATCTCAGATTTCATAAGCAGCTTGATATTTTAGAAAGACAATGTTCTTATGTATATTAATTACGTAGATACCAGATCGTACAGCACTCTTTTCTAAGCTGTCATCCTGCTACTGTATACAGTAAGTTTGTAGGGGTTTGTTCCATCTAATTTTAAATTTTTCATATAATTTGAGTTTTTCCTTCTATTGAAATGCTGTTATCACAATCAGGTACCTCTCACTCCTGGAGTAGTGTATGCTATACTTACTCTGAAATTTTCTTTTTCCAGTTAGCTAATACTTCAAACATGAAGGCAGTCTAGCATAGTAGAAGGTATTTCTAGGACTTAAAATGGCATTTTAATTCTTATCAGTAAAAGATACTAGTACCATAGAAAGAAAAGATCCATTATAAAGTGCAGGTTGAGAAGATTTTTTTTATTTGATAGCACACTACTTCTGTATTCTTCACAGCACTTTTTTCCCTTTGCACTATTTCTTCTTTCAAGAATGACAACTTTTATTATCTATCATGAATTCTATTTATTTGACAGTAGTTTCCTTTGAATGAAATTCATACATAGTTGTATGCTAAGGACAAGAAACAACACATACTGTTCATTGTTCCAGCATTCCTTTCTAGTTGCTTCCCTGCCAGTTTTATTTGTAACTAGTAAGGAGCCTGAGGCTCATGATTTCTATTATTAATCTGGGTGTTAGAGTGGCTAGGGAGAAGTGAGTTTTCTGTACTATACCTTATTTAAAAATTAAAAAAACCCACTTTTTTTGTGCAAACTTGCAAAGAGGTACTGCTCAGCTACGAGCAGAACTACAACTTCCATGCTTGGAGTTTAAGTAGATCTAAAGGCATGAAGTAACTGAAACAAAACAGAGAGGGAATGGAGAAACAAGTGGAAGAAAAAGGCTTTTAAGGGGAAGAGAAGACTCCTGACACCTTTGCAGGTGCACCCATACGAGGGAACTTTCTCTTAGAAAGAAGGAAAGCAAAGATGAGTATAAGCAATCAGAAGATAAATGTAGATGTAATGGCATTAAGACAAATAGGCATTTTTTTCCAAAGTCAGGGACATAATGTTTTTAGTTTTGAGAAACATTCAGTTATCATTTTCCATCTATGTGAGCAGTTGTGGTGTGTTGTGGCTAGTGGGGTACAAGGCTACTGAAGTCGAGAGTTCAAAGCCACTGGGGCAGACTGTTGGCTGCAATGAATTGGCACAACACTCCTGAAGACAATGTAGAATAGTTCTGTTGCACACAGAAGGCTCATTTTGAAAGCAACATTATCATCATTTAGATTCTCTGTAAGAGCAACAGAATGAAACATCAAACAAACGTAGAGGGGTTAAGCAGTTATCCCAGTCCATTCCCTCAATGTCATGGTTAAGCAAATCTGGGAACAGAAAAACGCCTCACCTCCCTTCTGATGGCATTGAGCCTTTGCTGTGCAAGAAGCAGTACTTTGGTTTCTGGCCTTCTGTCTGCTCTTTCCATTGTTAATCTATTCCAAGTCAGGACAATGTTATATTGCCTCATTCTCTTGGTAACAAAATCCTTTATTTTCAGATTTTGCAGAGCTTGTCAAACCTCACTTTTCTGGGAATCCCTAGATTTGCTGGCTGTGGAAAAAATGTGTTATTTAATATGTCTAAGCAGCAGTAAAGTAAATTCTTTCATTGTGACAAACTCTGGAATCTTCTTAGTTATTCTCTACTTGCAACATTTCCTAACACTTGTTATCCATTTTGTAATAACAGGAATTCAGAGGTTCCCTGGCAAGATTTTCTCTCTCTGTACTTCTGGTAAAACCTTAATGCATTTTGAGGTTTAGATATATTAGTGTATATACAGTAATGTAAATTGTAATTTCTATCAGTTATTCAAATCAGTACTGCAGGCAATCTACAGAAGCAGAAGTAAGGGTTGTCTTTGAAATAATTTATTTTCAAAATTTAATGCTTCACTCTAGGAAGCACATAAAGATATTATAGAAAATTCTGCTTTCAAGAATTTACTGTTCAAAAAGATCTCTTTCAAAGCCAAAGAACTATACATTTTGGAAAGGACATTCCTTGCTACCTGAAATAATAGAGGCATATACATGATACTTGAAAGTACTTTATGTGCTGAAAGGACTCGTTTCTGGCACTATGGTGAAAGTCTACTGGGGTCATTGGAATTCACTGAGAAACTTGCACTCTCTTGCTTTTTGTGATAAGAAGTATTTGATAAATTAGAAGTTTAAAAGAAAGTATGTTTGCTTTGGACAGGTTTTTCCTTACATTTCGGTCCTCTTTTACTGCTTATCAGTCTGTAGCATTTTTATTGATAACTGTACTTACTGAGCCTGTAAATAAGAAAGAAGAACTAGAAGGCTTCGCCAACAGAAAAACTGACTTGGGAGGCTTGGGAGTAAAAAGGAATGGTTCTTCAAACTAGCAACAAAGGAAAAACGGAAACGTGTTTAATAAGTTTAGTCACAAAATAATTAACATTGAATTATCAAAATATCTAGGATGGAAGCCTTTGACAATGATAATTTACTGTGCAAAATATATCATTTTCTCATCACAAAATATGCATATGCTAGTTAGCATTCACATTTGATTGTAAATGGTCTTTAGAAGATCTGTGTTAGTTAGATGTGACTTGCTGGTTAAATCACATTTTCTTTTCTTTGCTGACTGGCAGGACATGTGGCATATATCGCTCCTAGATTAAAAGAATAAAACTCTGCAAATAATTCTGCCAGGAAGCTCTGACATGTAAGTGCTTCTTGGCAGCAAATACATGCATGGCATGGGGTTGGCTGATGTAAATTCATCTGGAAATTTGAATTCACACTGTCAGTAATGCTGTTATCTTACTTGTCTAACATTATTAAGGGAACAATCCTTTTCAATATGCCTTCTTCTGAATGCACATAGGACTTTCTCTCATGTGGAATGAAGCATAGAAAATGCAAGCAGATTTCAAAAAAATTTAGTATTCCACTCATTAAGCTAATTTTCATATTAAAACCCCCACATGTGTACAAGAGTCATTCCTATGCACAAGGAAGACACTAATTTGGACATTAATGTCAAAGAGACCAGCCTGAATATTTAACTTTTCCCTTTATATACAGCCTGTGTTCAAAGCAATGTAAGTTCA